ATGAGACAGATGCATAGTACACCTGGCCACAGGCTTACAATGAAATGAAAGTGATGCTCGGGCAGGGAATGACAGAAATCACAAAAGTGGGAGTCTATTTTTTTTTTTTTTGTCAGAGCATCATCGAAAAAAAGGAAAAAAAGGTGTGACTGGAAAAATACAATCACACACTCAGGCAGGAAATTGTTGTGTCACATGTTGCTCCAAGCTGACATTATTGTACTCTACAGAATATGGATCAATAGGTCTTTCCAGAGTACAGGAAGTAGCTTTAATAATGTGTTTTGCCATCCGGTGATCTGACAAACAGCTGTTCTGGGTAACTAACTTCTTTCCACCTGCTTCTTTAAAACAGAGAGGGACAACAATGTCTGCCATCAATGCAAAGGCCAAGCAATGGAAGTCGTCAGTCGCTCATTATATGGGGCGGATGTGACCCAACGGTAGAATTGGTTGTCTCTCAACTTGAAGGTTTAGGGATTTGATTTCCGCAAGTCCTACGGGCCACAAGACACTTAACCTAAAATCAGCAGTTGAACACTTTCAGTAACAGCCTCTGCCATCAGTGTGTGAATGTTGTTTGAATTTTGTGACAGGTAGTGGAGCGCCTAGCAGTTATGTCGCACGCCCCAAGCACAGAGGCTATAGTCCTCGCCCCAGCGTCTGGGGGTCTGAATTGACATGTAGTCATATAGTTTGAATGGGTGAATGTGACATGTGGTGTGCAAGCATTTTTGAGTTGTTAGAAGATTAAAAAAAGCACTATATGTCAATTTACCATTTGAATGTTATCCAGTGTTTCTGTGGTGGGCTGCCTTTAGCCCCTTTTACTATATTTTCAATACTGAGAAAACACATTTTATGAGAAACCCTGCGAGTTATATTCTAAAAAAGAATGACAGACTTTGCATTTAAATGTACTGAACAATGATAAAAAAGCAAAACTGACTAGAATTATTTTTAAGAGTATTTGAAGAAGAAGAAGAAGAAGAGGGGACAGGGGTCTCTAACCTTTTTTTATCTGAAATAAATGAAAGTGGTCGAGAGCTTCTTGCGTAACATCCCTTAAGTTTGGTAGTTTGATATTCCTACACCAATTAACTCACTGAATCAAGCGACTTCTTGTACATGTCAAATATCATTACCCAAATCTTACAAAACACAGACACTCTCTGGGCCTCCATGTAAGCACCAAACCGTACGTCAGTAATAGCATGCATTATTTAAGTCTTTCTTTTATGCTCCGTAATGTCCACTGCTGTCGTTCTTCCTTGACCATCCCACCGCTGGTGAAAGGCTTCTTGTGCTTTGTTAGGATGCGTACCACTTCAGCGGATGCCTCTGTTATTGCATTTGCTTTTGTCGGTTGGGTAAACCCTCATGTTTTTAAGGGCGCACTCATACAAGGAAAATTTGTCCCCGTACCTGCTTAAGCCTGATTAAATAACGGGGCCTGTGCACGGTAACCTCTTATAACATCGTAATACAACACATGCGTGGCTTTACATGATCATGGAGCGTATTTATTTTACAAGTCAAGAGGATACGACGTCCGCAGATCAGAGAACAACACAGAGAATATGGCTGCTGCCTTACTGACTTTGTGACTTATTTTGAGTCATTTAACACTCCAGAATCAATAATGGAAGGATGTCCACGTTGTGCTTGCGAATGAACTGTACAGTGCCGGAACACAACTTTCAAAGTGTGCCAATGCCAAGGAAGTGTGCCGTGTTTGAGTACGGATCAGAGAACATTAGTCAAACGAACTGGACTTTAGGGGTGAAGCGTGCTAAGGCGGTACTTAGTGTTTTCAGTTTGTAACATGCTGCACAAAGTCCAGTACGTTACAATGGGCCTTAGTGTGGTGGTACAATAAAGGTGAATGGACTTGTATCGTGCTTTTCTAGTCTTCTGACCAAAGCACACTACATGTCACATTCACTAATTCTGAGCACTATCCCTTTCACACACATTCACACGAGCAGCAACAGCAATATGGGGTTCAGTGAGAGTAGGAGCTGGAGATTGAACCCGCATCCTGCCCGCTTACATCCTGAACCACCAAAAAAACAAATTTCCCCTTGAGGGATCAATAAAGTATAAGTTATTATCATTATTATTATTATTATTATTATCATTATTATCATCATTATTATTATTATTATTATTATTATTATCATTATTATCATTATTATTATTATTATTATTATCATTATTATCATCATCATTATTATTATTATTATTATCATTATTATCATTATTATTATTATTATTATTATCATTAATATTATTAATATTATTATTATTATTCCAAAAGCCCAACTTTTGACAATACACAGTTGACAGTGTAAAAATGGGTTGCAGTAAAAATAAGTTACAAGAGAACCAACTATATATATAGCTGAGTTAAATGGACTTTCTAGTCTTCTGACTACTATAGGGGCTTTTCACACCACAGGTCACACCTACCCACTCACACCACATTCACACTCTGATGCCAGAGGATGCTCAGTAAAATGTCCATCAGTACTCACTAATCCCGTTCATACACATTCACACACCGCTGATAGTTTAATGTCTTGCTCTAGGACATTTTGACATGTGGCTGCAGGAGTTGAGAATCAAACCTTGACCCCTCTGGTTGTGAGACGACCGACATCTGAGACAAGGGAACACATTTTTCAGATACTGATACCAAAAGAAATTTAAAAAAGGCAAAAAAAAATCAGATAATTAAAACAGCTGAAGGACAAATATGTACTGTAAGTTATCTACTGATTTAAATCTGACCTTACGATATCATTAAGGAAACATGCCATGTTGTAGTGCTGGCTTCTTTGTCAACAGTGCAGACGTCAGTATGTCCTCCGACTGAGCTTTGAGTCCAGTGTGGAAAGGTTTGTTATTGTTTATCCAGAGAAGGGAGGCAGTGTTAAGGCAGTGCCACATGGCTGTTCTGGTTGCCCCTTAGTTTGCCGGACAAACAGCAAACCAACAGGTGTTGCGTTGATGGAAGCGTGCAAGCAAATTGATTCAGATAAAACTCATTCAACCCCACTTAAAAAAAAGCATTTGACTTTATTCTAATAAGCTCCACAACAGGAAAGGTGGGGAACTAGGATATATATTGAATATTCTTTTGAAAAATGGAAAGAGGTTAGAGCGCAGAAAGGTTTCTAGACCTGTGCAGAGCTGGCTAAATTAACACTGAAGCTTGTGCACGACATGGCAACCCGCGCAACAGAGCTCTACAATGTTATGAATTTGGACTGCAGTACCGATTTTAAATGCTATAGTTACATATAAAATAAAGCAGTTTAAAAAAATCATTGTTTTTCCATTGATCTTCTGTAAATACATGTTGTTAGAAGAGGTCATTAGCTTGGCTGATTGCTTTAGGTAATCTTATTTCTTAGGTGCTCAGCTTCTTTAAGGTTACAATAGCACAAGTCATCCAATACCACGAAGGCTTACTAATACACAGCTGTTAAAAAACAATAATGATGTCCAAATTTTCCAACACACTGGTATATAATGGGAAACTGTTATCAGCCGATACTGAAGTCTAGGAATCAGAACAGGTAACAGGAGCAAAAGAAATGGGAACACCTCTACAACATACAACCTCGCTGCTAAAACATGTTTCACATGTGTATTGAAAGACTAAAACTCTTCAAGTTTAAGTGTCAATTACAAAATCTCAAATTGCCAAATGCAAATATATTCCTGTTTAGTGATAGGCTTGAGACCAAAAAAGACTGCAGGCTACTGAATGAGCTGTGACTGCATGGATGTGCCCATTCAACTGTGTGTGCACATGTGTGTGTGTCTTTCTATTTACATGCTACGTTGCGCTGCTGCCTTGTATTGTACACAAACGACAATCAATAAAAACAACATTTTATACAGACAAGCAGGGCAACACAAATATGCAGACACACATGGTCAGCAACTATGATGCAATAGCTCATCTGGTATGACCCTTTATGGCAGAGTGCCATGCAGGCCAGCAGTAATGGGAACAAGCTCATACAAAGCACACATTGGAAACTGGTCCTATCGATTGTGCAGGACCTGGTGGCACTCACAGACGACTGGATTATGCAGATGGATCTAAACTTGTTCAGCCTACTGCGTTTCCCTGGTTGTCTCTTCTCTTGACTCACTCGGGTAATCAGAAAATAACTTTACATGCCAACAGTAAGGTTTACATGCAAACATGTATTAAGTCTTGACATGTAACACCTCACACAACTACAGCACAACTATCAGCCAAATCATTGATTGCCTACAACTGCATCCTTCAAGTACAGATTGGTGCAGCGCACATTCACACACTTTAGTTGAATATGTTCATTATTGGCTTACGGTACCCATTTATGGTCCACATTTCGCAGAGAGACAGAGTTCTTTTTCAGTGGTGCATCACAGGTAGTCTTTACTCTGTTCTTCCATTGATTGCTCCCAACGCATGAAGGACATTCTAGGACTGACGTTCCTGCATTATCAAATCAGTGCTGAACACAACACTTAACCACCCTGAGATGTAAATGTCTTTACATGAAGAAATTCACACTGACAAGACAAAGAAAATGTTTGCTGCCACCACAACTAAGAACTCTTTTAAAAAAAATATATGAAACCATCATTCCGAGTTAATTGACTCTACAGTCCAAATTGTCCTTGAACAAGACACACACACACCTAACAGTTCAATTAAGCAGTTCAGAATAATTGAACCCTTGACTCATTTATAGTAAAGATGTAATGCACCAAAACTACAAGGAACCCTTATATGTTCAGTTCACCCTCCTGGTTATACAACTTTGCTAGTAAAACAGTAAAATAAAGTCAGTGAATGCCATTCTCTTTACTTATTGCTTGTCTTAGTTAGGAATTACGAATAAGCATGTGAGACATTTGGACCTCCTCTCGTACACATTAACATGATGGTAGAAAAAGACAGCCTTTAAATAAAGGAAATGTCCTCTACTTACCCTGTAATGTTTGGAAGAAGAATAAGCCCAGCTCCTTGCAGCTATTAAACAAAAAAGCCTTGTCTTTGCTTCTCAGTTATTGTCACAGGCAGTGGGTTGGTCCCAAACAGTTCCTCCCTCATGTAAAATAACCTTCGCGTTAACTCACCTCTCTGACTGGAAGAAGATGAATGAACCGCTGCGTCTCCCTTGCCAACACATTTGCATAAAGGCCGCCTCCCTCGCGCGATGATTAGCCGGGATGCCGTTCCAAAGGTGGATCCTCGTCACCTGATTGGACGGGACGACATGTCAATCACGAGCGTGTGACCGCGCGCCTGTGCCCTCGCGTCCTCGCTGTGGAGCAGCAGCAGCCGCCCGCGCGCGCGCACACACACACACACACAGAGAGAGGCAGGGTGGCAGTAATGTGAGATGCTTTAAATGGAAATTAACAGGAAAATACACATGACAGTTGCTCAATAACTGTGATAAGCCTTTATCTTGTCGCCATTTATCTTTCCTTCACTTGTTTTAAAAGGTAGGTAGTTTTTAATGGAAATGTTAGTTCAGCAGGATAATTGTCCTCATTAACTGACAGGACATCAAGCTAACCAAAGCAGGAACCTCATCTCAGTCTTCAGGGAGAATTAGCCCACAAGATGCATGAAGTAAAGCCTACTCGCTTCATAAAAAACCCCATGTTCCCCCCCATGTAAAGCTCTTAAACTTTAAAACTAGATTTAACAAACAGACCCCTTTTCTTTAGAAATGTCCTCATTGGTTAATGTGTTTTGCTTACTGTTAAGAGCACAACAAATCAGTTTGCAGGATGAATAATATGCAGTAGACTTGTAAGTAGAAGTACGAGAGACTGGCAGTCTAACCATGTTCTACCCTCAGGTTCCACTCGAGGTTATTGCCCAAAGTTTTCCTTACATGTGCAAACTGAAATAAATTCAGTAGGTCTGCTGCTGTCTTTACAGAGTTTGGTCTAGATGTGCTCTAGAGGTTTTTTTATTTGATGGATCTATAATCCAGCAGTTAAATTTGCATAAACAACAACATTTACATTTTAGATTCTTGATTTGTAGCAACGTGCAAAATGGATTGGCCATCATTTTGGGACTTCCTACTTTCCTTTTTTCGAGCACAGCCGGGAAAGCGTCTGGACGAGGGAATCCTTAAGCACCTTAACATCTGCTGACCCCATCACCAACCAGACAGTTAATAATGGATGATTCTGCAACCTGCATTATGTAATTGCCAGGCGGGAAATTTGAAAATCCCAGACATGGCTTTTGAATAATGTTATTCCTTTTACAACACATATAAAGTATGCGATGGTTAAAGTCAGAGCAATTTTGCATCAGTCAAAAATACGACTATCACTATAGTATACTATAAACTATCACAGACTAACTTTCAAACATCAAACATATAGAAATCAAACATATCTATTGTAGCTGGCACTATTACTTCTTTGAAAATGGTGAGAAAAGCTCTGTTGTGGAGGTCAAGTCTATACTTTTCTTCATGGCACAAATGTCAGCTTAGAGGAGAAGTTGTTGCTGGAAATTTCTCCCTTTATGTATGTACTGGATTTACAGTATTTGTACCTTTTGACTTCTCAAATGAGAGCAGAGCCTTAAATCATGTTCCCCATGGTTATACAATGATTTCAACTGTAGTGCATTATTGATTTATTTTGTGCTGATGTGGTTTTACACTCGCTGTTATTTGGAAAAACTATTATACATAGAATCCATTATTTTGTGTACCTGGTATAACAGTTAAAACTATTTATAATGTTACAGCATTAATCTTAACGACAACGAATAACAAGAAAGAAGAACTGCAGAGTCAGTATGCGTGAATATGTGTGTTCGTATTCTACAGCCATAAGAAGCTGTTCTACCAATTTAGAGGAAAATGTTTTCCAGTCAGACAAGGTCAGCTGGGGCCTCTTGGATGAAGCGACATAATCTTTAGCACAAGGTAAAAGTCAATCACTGCAGAACCTCTGCAACTCCCACTCATGTTTCTATGATGCGTGTGTGTGTGTCCTTCAATCCAAGGTAAGCATCACTCACTCTAAAAGAGTGACTCAGAATAAAACATAAAAGAGCCAGTTTCAGCCTGAACTTTTTAAAGATACAGCAGTGTGAATGGATAAAGGAAGAATGGCCCACCAAAACATGAATTCATTCAAGAAAGTGAAGAGAGAACTTTGCATTGGGTGTCCCTCATCTGTGTAGCCTAGGTTTAAAGTAGTTCAAAAGTGTAACAGAATAACATTGCATCTGTATTTATTTTAGTAGTAATTGGTAGTTTCTGCTTCTGTGAAAATAGATAATAAAGTTGACACCACTGTGATGTCTCTGGGATAAATACAAAGCTGTACTGTAGCTGGCATTGACTCAAAGACTGGAAACAAAGGGAGAAGCGGTTTAAGCAAATACATGAATGAAATATCAAGAGTTTTTGGTTGTGCACGTAAACAGAACAATGTCTTATTTTGTTTTTACAATCGGTTAGCCTATATGAAGATCCTGGCTCACATTTGGTTTACTGTCTTTGTGCTAAGTTAAGATAACTGGCTGGTGGCTGGGACTTTGTGTTTAGAGTACTGACATGCGTATAATACTTACCTTGTCATTTAGCTGTATCCAAAAAAAGTAAACATAATGTGTTTCTAAACTTTAAACTATTCCTTTACGTATTAATGCAAAATGTATATTTTTCCCTCTGCTTCCTCTACTGCCCTTCTCCCCCTAATTCAAATATGTATAATTGAAACCTCAGTAATTGAAATGAAATGAATCTCTGGCTCTCTAATTGAAATATGCTTTATTGAGAATAGCATGAATATAGGATGACGCGCTCCTCTTTTTACTTCTATGAATATTCATTGGTGTGTGTGTGTATGTGTTTGTGTGTGTGTGTGTGTGTGCGCGCGTGTCCATCGGCAACAGAGGGTTGCCAAGGGAGACAACCTGTCGAGCCCTCCCTCACCCTCTCATCCCTCTCTTCTCTCTTTCATCTCTCTCCCTGTCCTTGGCCACCATTAATCTCTACACTTGGGCCCTGCTCTGTGTTGTACTTTCATTGACTCCTCTTTTAAATACTTTTCATTCTGATAAGTGTGTCTTTGTTCTTTTATATTCAGTAACTAAATTAAATCCTTAACATGGAAAGTGGTTAATATCATTTTTTCATTGATCATTGAGCGTGAGAGAAAACATTTTTTTTTTCAACATAGATTCATTTCTCTTTCAGCGCGCTGTTATAACATTAAGCACTAACTCTGGTGCTAGATAGTATGTGTGTATGTGGATCACAGTGTGGAGCTGCTCTTTCAGGTCTTTTCCCTCAGCGAGAGGTGATGCACTCTTATTCATGCTAATTGACGGGCAACTTGGCGCCTCATAATGAAATTCAAACCTCCATTCATGCCTTGGTGTGCGTATGTGTGGTGTGTAATTCTCTGTGATGGCGGCCTGTAAACTGTCTAATTGACCTTTCCACAGCCCGCAAAGGACGGCTCCTCCGCCCGCATGCCTCCTTCCGGCTGCAATTCCCTCCCTTCTCCTCTTTCTCTCATCTTCCTTTTCCATTCTACCTTGACACTTGCGCTCGTCCTGTTCTCTAGTTTTCTCACTCCCTTTTTTTCCCTTTATTCATGCTGTTGTTGATACGTACAATATGTCTAACATTGCTGATGGTCTCTGAGGTTTAGAAATATTTCCTTGGTAAGTATTGCATGGAAAAGTATATTTATAGTTTATTAGTTCACAGATCAGATTTTGATACAATTTCAGGTTAGGGTGTACCATATTATCAAATCAAGACAGGTCTTTTTTGTCATCTACTGTCTTATCAGGAGCCTGACCAGTTATGAAGAACCTAGGAAATTAGTCTGATGGTATATGTGTGTAGCTCGAAAGTTAAAGCCAACTCAAGCAGCGCCGGCTCTAGTACATGGACTTGAGCTTGTACAGTATATCTCTGTTTTAGTCGTCTGACTACTTAAAGCGTTTTTATACAACATGTAACAATTACCCATTCACACACTGATGGCAGAGGTTGCTATGTAAAGTGTCCATCAGAATTACCTGATCAATCCATACACATGCTGCCGATGAAGCAACGGGAGCAACTTGGGGTTAAGTACAGGATCTGGGGCTCAAACCCCTGATGAGTTATGAAACAGACTGAAATGTATACTGATGCCTCTATATATATGTCCTAAAGATAAAAAAAAAATAAGACCATCAGGTGCGAGATTGAGTATTTGTAGATATTTTGAATGTCTGTTCCCGCTGACATGGGGAGGCTTCGGGCAAGTTGATGAGCATACTTAAGAGACAGCCTCAGTCTACAGCAAAAAATCTCAATGAGAAAAATGTTACTCGATCAGCAAGAGGTAAGAGGTACCACATTGTCTAAGAGGTTTCAAAATTGACATAAGCAGAAAGTTTGTTGCAGCTGCTTTAAAAAAAAAATCCTGACAAGGATGCAAGTAATTCATTCAATGAATAGTCTTAATAAAGGTGTTAAATATTTATCAGAAATCATCAGAGACTTTTTGTGTTTTTTCCAGAACACTCATAAAACAACCTGTCATTATTTACAAAGACCTCCTATGAGCAGGACATTGTTACAGCAGTCTTGCCACACTTTGTATTTTCCTTAAAGCCCTGTGTCTGCTCTCCGAGTTATTATCTAGCTCCCTTACGTTTCTACCACTTTCCCTATTCTCATTGACTATTAATGGTGACAAATAATGGAAAACTATGTCCTAGTAGCTAATTATAAGCACTGATTATTTAACATGCTGCATTAATCAGGATTGGTGTTTCGGCTTGATGGTGGTGATTCATGTATTTCTTCAAAGCGTTTAAACGGCGGCTGTGTCTGCAACACAGGGACCAGAGTCCAGTGACCTTTCATAGAAGACCAATGAGACTCATTCTTTCCTTCATCCGATCTTCTTTTTTTCCCCTCCTCTCCCCTGTCCAGAGCATTGCAATGAGATCAAGGAAAATGTCTCGTGATGACCTCTCTATCTCAGGTCACAATCTGCCTTTTTGTTGGATTAAGCAAAGTCGGGGACCCAGGTTTGCCAAAAGTAATCTAACCAACGCACATCAACAGAAGAGTACCTCTGCATCATGGATGACGAAGCAACAGGAT